ATACATTTCTATGCTGATGACACAGTTGTTTATTGTCGAGCTAAAAACGGTTGCTAAGGTTTTCCAGCTTTTGTAGTCCGCTTTTAACATCGTCTAGTCAGATTTGTTCCGTCTCAAACTTGACGTAAACGCCGACAAAAACAAAGGAATGCTGTTTTCAAAAAGGAACTAGATCCCAGTAGTTCTTCCTTCGATTTTATCATGGAATAGTGTCCCTATTGAGTTTGTTGATTCCTACAAATATTTGGGTATCGGTCAATTTGCATCTCTCTTTTAAGCTCCACGTGTAAAACCTAGTGAAGAAACTGGAAGTTAAACTGGTTTCTTTTTCAGAAATAGATCCTGTCGAACTCTGAATGCTAGGAAACACCTTGTAACTGTGACTTTCCTTCCCTCCATTGATTACGGTGACATTATTTACATGAACGCTCCTACAAAGAACCCTGCACATGTTGGATGCTGCAGATGTTGGATGCTGTCTATCATGGTGCACTAAGATTCATAACTGGCTGTGATTATCGTACCCACCACTGCACCCAGTATTCACTGGTTAACTGGACATCATTAACTTCACGCAGACCCTCTCACTGGTACATCTTCATCTTTAAATCACTTCTTGGTCTGCTGCCTTCATACATCTCCTCCTACATGTCTCTGTGTGAGTGCAGCTACAGCGTGCGCTCTCAGGACATCATTACCTGCAGTGTTCCCTCAGTGAGGACTGAACTAGACAAAAGGACCTTCTCCTACTCCGCTCCCGTTTCCTGGAATATCTTGCAAAAAGATCTTAAGCTCTCGACCTTTGACCTCTCTAAGTGGCTTTAAAACAGTTCCTGGGAAAAACCAATGCAGACATGTTCCTGTTTTTAGTATTTTACATCGCTTCACAACCTAGATGTTTTTTGTTACATTTATTTTAATACCATTTTATTTTCACTTGTTATTCTCAATTTGTATTCATCCTTTATGATTATCCATTGTTGTCATCACTCTTTGTTAAAATCAGGTCTCTCTTGTAAATGAGTCCCCGAGGCTCAATGGGATTTACTTGTATAAATAAAGGTTGAATGAAAAAAAATGGCAGCACATCCTGAGTTTTCAGAATTTAATCTGAGCTTAGATAACTTCTGGAACAATGACTTGAGAAGATGAAACCACTGTTGACACAACTGATGATAACCACAGTTGCAGATTTGGAGAAAAAACAAACAGCATATCAGTGCAAACGTCTCATACCAAGTGTCAGCACGGTGGTGGAGGGCTGATAATTTGGGGCTTGCTTTGCAGCCACAGGTTCAGGGCACGTGCAGTCACTGGTTAGTCATTCTAAAGTATTCTTGAGGTAAATGTGAGACTGAAGCTTGACCATAATTCTGATATAAATAGGACAATGATCCCAAAATCAGCACAATGGATAGGGAAAAATAGAATCACATACGGTGTGTGTGTGTGTGTGTGTGGGGGGGGGTGTCTTATTAGATCCAAGCCTAACTATGCAAATTTTTAGAGGGAGCATTTAAATTTGCATTGTTTGAAAAAAAAAACAAAAAAAACAGCATTCATTTATCAGTGGTCAAATGGCAAATTTCTACAATCCGCAATAAAAGTAATTTTTAAAATGAGAGTACGAGGCAGCACACACCATTTGATCCGTCTGCTTTAGTGTGTGTGCTTGTTCTTTTAAAGTCGAGTCGGTGTGGCGGTCCTAATCTTCATGCAGATATTCTCTGTGTTCTGCAACCACAGGGCCTACGGCCTGCAGACCCATCCTGGAACAGTGATTAGCATATGTATGGACCCTCTTCTTCTCAACTCCCACACAAAAGGCAGGCAGCCATGAGGGCCAGGTGGCAAGCAGTGGGATTTCTCCTAGCCTCGCCTCAGGGACAGGTGCAAACAGCTTCACCTCCATGTGGAGTTGTATTACAGCTCAAAGGAGAGGCCGTCTTGAACTTACGAAATACAAAACAAAAGAGACCAGGGACCTTTTGTCTGCTGCTTTCTGCCGTTGTCTTATGAAAAGAGCAGGGCTCGGGCAGAACTTGTTAACAGGAAGTGGTTTCCCACTATCCTTAGGGGAGCATTTAAACACTCAAGGAAGGACAAGTGTGTCACAGTCTTTTACATTAATACCACATAGTCAAATGTTTTCCATCAAAACCTTCCGCTCTTTAAACACACAAGTTTCCTTAATGGGTTTATACTAGTCTGCGTTCATTCAGATTTTTAAAAGTAGTAGCTGGAAACGAGGCCGAGGCAATTTCACCAGGACGGGCGAGTATCACGATGTGCCACCAGAAACATTAAATACATAAAGATAACAGCACTTGTGTTCCCAGATGGTTTTGTATCCTAACATTTTCCAGGCTAAAGTAATTAAACTGATTTTCCATACTTTCCAGATCTACACAGGAACACTGTAATTAGAGGTGTTTACTTTGCACACAGCCTCTTCAAGAAATCTCACAAGCCCCCCCTCGCCACTTCCTCAGCCTACAAACAAAGAAACTCGAGGCAAATGAGGGGTAAAGGGATGAAGCCCATGTAAATTAGACTTTGCGGTGTTCATTCAGTCACATAAAAAGGCTTCTGTTGGCAACAAGGAGAGCTGCGCTCATTGAAATCATACATATTCAATATTTATTCATAATTGTAAACCACTGCAACCCCCCCACCAGACAAAAATTAAGCTATTTGAATAAACCTGCACAGCAGGACTCATGGATAATTATGTATGGCCTGCTAACCAATAACACTGTGGTCAGGCTAAATGTAAAGCCCATGGATCTTAAACGTGTTGGATATGAAAATATTGATGCAGTGATAGAATTTCTAAGACACTGGACCGGCGCTGACACCGCTGCTGTCCACCAATTACTGTAGCAGTCTCTGGTGTTCAGCAGCCACATTAGGAGAAACCAGTACTTATTTCTGGCACTCCAAACTGGAATCATTTTACACGGGATCAGTGAAGGTAGTAACATTTAGCGATTAAACAGGCATTATGGCCAAATAATAATAATATCAGATACATTTTCAGGAAAACCTGTGACCAACTACAACTCATAAAGCACATGGAGCGAAACACAATCAGCACATTATTATTACACTGCTTTAGATATTACAGACAAAGATTTATCTTTTCCTGAACAACCCATTTGATGCAAATGGAAGATTTTATTTTACCAAACGCTCCTTCTCCAATAAGGAACTGTAAAATATATTTATAGTACAATGATTCAGCCATAATCTTTTACCTGCTTCTTCCTCATCGGACCACGGAGGTGCAGTACAATGATTCTATGTATAATTAGTCAAATCACAACAAACTTCAAGAATTTGACTTGACTAATAAATTTGCCTCAGGTGAAGGAGTATCTGTATCTGATCACCTTGTTGGGTGATGGTAAATGGAGCGGGAGATGGCTCAACGGATTAGAGCCTTGTTCTCAGTAATGAAGGCGTTGCTTTGGTCAGTCTGGTGAAGAAAGAGCTGAGTCGAAAGCAAAGCTCTTGATTTACTGGTCTGTCTACAATCCAACCCTCACATGTGGTCAAGATCTATGGATCCTAAATAAAAGAACAAGATCCTGGACACAAAAAGCTGGATTTAGCTTCCTTTGTAGGGTATCCAGGGTCAGCCTTAGAGATGGGGTGAGGAGCTCTCTCATCTGCGGGTGGAGGTGCAGAGTAGAGCTGCTGCTCCTCTGCATTGAAACAAGTCATTTGAGGTGGTTTGGTCATTTGATTAGCATGCCTCCTGGACGCCTCCCTTTGGAGGGTTTCCAGATATGCCCAACTGGGAAGGTAATCCAGGGCAGACCCAGAACTCACTGGAGGGATTATATATCCTCTATGGCCTGGGAACAACTTGGGATCCTCCAGGAGGACCTGGAGTGTTGCTGGGGAGAGGGAGGTCTGGGATTCCCCCCCAGACATGTTGCCCGTGTAACTTGACTGCAGATGAGCAGTAGAAGACGGAGACAAATAACGGCCGTGGCTTTTGTTGTATTACCGGTGTGTCAGGCTTCTCTGTTCCCCTGATGATGTGCAATGCCATGTGGAACCAAACACTTTCAGCCATTCACCCAAATATATTGAAGAAATCTTCCCGTTTTGTTTTAACCAGATCATTTTGTACATTTCAAAGTTTCAGAGTGTGAATAAAATAATTTGCAGAGAACATTTGTAACGGTTGGACAATGTTTGATTTAATCATCAAGAAAGCCTGGCCATAACAACACGTGAAACTTAAAATTACTACACAAACTCAAGGTTTTTATTTTATTTTATAAAAAGGCAACTGCCTATTTAATGTATGCAGAGATGCAGATTACAAAGGTAAAGGCTTATTTATACCAGACAAGTCCAATATTACCAGGTACTACAAAGAAAGGCTATCAAAAATACGAGTAGCATTCTTTGAAAAACAATTTGCATGCTGCCTGCCCCTTTGCGTCCAGGGTTCGAAACAAACCAGCATGACTTGTTTGCACTCAGATTACGTGATGGCAATGACTCTCAGCAACTACCACACCAAATATTACTTTCCGCTGCTCTCTTCTTCAGGGGTCACCACAGCGAGCAAACTTGCATGAAAGATTTGGCCATTTATTTTACGCCGGATGCCCTTCCTGACGCAACCTGGGCTCGAACCCACAACCTCAGGATTACAAGCACAGCCCACTGAGCTTTATATTAATGATGTATAACAAAATATTTGACATATTAATCCACACTTGGCTCAGTATCTGTACAACTGACCAAGTCATGGTCACTAAAGCCAATTAGCTGTGGCAGCCATCTTAAATCAGGTTGACTTCAAAAAGGTTATCGGTTGTAAATGTGCATCAAATAAAATCTGTCCAGTGGCACATGAGGTATTTTGCTAACAGACAAAGAAAGATGTCGACACAGGCAACAATATGATAGCCTGCCGTTAATGGCAATAATTAAAAAAACAATGCCAGCTACCGTTGGGTGCTGTGAATGGTCAGTACCTGCGTGGCTTTGTCTTTCATACAGGAGGGGTAGTGTCCATGGGAGTCCCGAGGCCACTGGCCCGTGAGGTATGGCCCAGTGATGGCATCCAAAGACGATGCCCTTCGGATGGCACTAGAACTTCGTACTTGTATCTTGGATCTTTCTGCTGTGAATATATAAAAATAAATAGTTTAATTCTGGTTCAGGTTTCTGTCGTGTGCATCTGTTTTTTAATTTTTTAGTACAAATAAGAAACCAAGAACTAGGGGCCATTATTAGAGAGACACAACAACCTCCATAAAAAAGAAAAACCTTGAACACAATTGCATTATTAGTCCCTGTCAAACAGGACCCCGAGTACATTCTGGCTTTACAAAAAAAAAAAAAAGACATGGCTACAAAATGTGGTCGTTACCAAGGTCCCACCTAAAAATAAACTGCAACACTATCCATGCCCCTGTTTTAATACTACTACAATTAAACGTGTTTTATTGAGACGAGTTTGACCTCGATCCCGTCGTGTTTTCAAACTGTGAACTGTTTTTCTGACATCTGAACTGTTAGCGAGGAGGAGAGCCCAGCCCTGGAGCAGATGGATGAGCAGGAGTATCTGATGGTATGAGAGAAATCTGCTATGACCTAGAGCAGTGAAGCATACACCACCCACATAAGAACTCAAACCACCACACCGCTAACGCACATCAATACTGCCTGCATCCACACAATATTCCTGCTGAGGCACGCAGTGTTGAGAACAAACAGAAGACAATAAAACATCCGACCTGAGAATAAATGTTTGAGAGCATCGAGGCTGCAGCTACCCTCTGAATTAAAACGGGTACGTAATGACAACAGCTGTTTGTGTTGTTGCAAAACAATGAGTCAGACTCAAAGGTGTGAGACTGGCTGAACGCTCAGCTCGATCAGGCGCTGGGTGCAATGACTGTTGGTTCAGACTTTTGTGCTTTTCAAAATATTGACATTTACAAATTGCTACAATTATTTCAGTCTCTCTGAAATCTTCAGCTTCATTGTACCGGCTTTACTTTTCTTTAAATGTTGCTTTTAGTTTTTAACTACCACTCAGCTTTTAGCTTCTAGCTAACTTTATCTTTTTTTAAATTTTCTTTAGCTTTGGTCTAGCCTTTAAATACTTTTCGCTTCAGGCAAACCTTTGAACACTTAACCATCCTTTTGCTATTTTAAATATCTTTCTCACTTAAAGAAACTGGTCCAGATGACACAGTTCAACCTTTTTTGTTATTTTAAATATCATTTTGCTAGTTAGAGCTTTTAACTAACATTGTGCTACTTTCAGATGTTAAGCTATCATCTTCTACAACAAGCTAGTACTTCACTACCTTTAGCTGTCAGACAACTTTTTGATACATTTATCTAGCCTTTTGAAACTTTTTCCTTCTAGATACTATAGTGTTACCTTTAGCTTTTATCTAGGCGTTTGCTAAATTTAGCCATCTTCTTGCTACTTTATGCTTTTAATGCAACAAGTCAGCATTTTACTACTTTTGTCTATCAGCTGAATTGTTGCAATGTTTAGCTAGCCTTTGGCCACTTAACTAGCTTTTGCTATAATTAGTTTTACTTTTGTTACTTTAAACTTTTGGCTAGAGCTTTACAATTTTTGGCTTTTAGCTAGTCCTTTGCTTCCATTAGCATTTAGCTAGTGTTGAGCCTCTTTACCAACTTAGTTTTAGCCTGTTCTGCAGATTACAGCCGCGCTCAGCTTTCACGCAAAATGAAATTTGTCTCCTTCTAGTCTGAGCAGGCTAAAGCTAAGGTCTTTCCAACACTCGTACATAAAACACACACAGACTAATGCATCTACACGCGGCACCTCGGTCTCAGAGCTACAGGACCGCTCATTGTTGTTCTTTGTGCACAAAATACACAAGCCCAGCCACCCAAAGGTATTGCCTAAGTAAGCTCACTGGTCTGCAGTCAAATTCCCTGAAGCAATGCAGACACGGGAAGCAGGCTACATTTCTATCAATATTGATATAGGCCAAGCCAGAGCTCCCACAACTGGGATTGTGGTTATTTTCCATTGCCCCCACATTAGCCAGACTTCAATAATCTCCTTATGAGAAAAAAAGAAACAATGTGAAAGACATCAAAGCAGTCCATCTGCTGATTTCAGTAAGAACATGATGCTGTGACTTTAAAGGAATACTTTTCAGGCTGAATTTTAACATGAGCTTTTCTCTCACAAGACATTCAGCAGGCGGTGAAAAAGTCTCCATGTTTCCAGGGTTTTAAATGGGTGGTTTATTAACTGTAGGGCAGAGGCAAATATAAAAACAAACATGTGGTTCAGATGGGTAAACCATAGCATGACTGCTTCCTGTGGGGTTTCACAGAGTGTTGGAAAACAAAAATCCACAGCTTTTTTTGCTTGATCCTAGAAACACTGAACAAAAATCCACAAAAATTCAGAAACCTTCCAAGAAATTTACTGTAATTCTAACTGAAGCCACGCCTAGCAGACAAGGGTTGTTTTTTAAACTGGAAATAACTTTGTCAGGCATTTTCAAGTGGAATTAGCACAACTAAAGCAAAGACCATAAAAAAACATCACAAAGAGATAGTGATTTCTTATTTTAGCCTTTAATGGAAAGAAAAGCAAAAATCGTCAATTATTGGTTTAATATGGGCCGAGATGGTGATGGGGCAGGGCAGCCGACTCAGGACCTTCGATCTTCAGACCTAGCAATAGGAATGTGCGATATGGCATAAAATTCATATCACGATATGTATTGTGAAGGGTGGCGATAACAATATATATCGCAATATGTAAAAGGAATTTTTTAAAAAGCATAGGGTGTCCTTTTGCCATCATACATTTTGAATTAAAAAAATTCCACTACTAGGTCCAGAGAGTTTTAGGCTTCTTTCTTGTAGTGCAAAACAGTGCAAAAGATCAAATGTAGTTTTAGCCATATGTTTTAAACAAAATAATATGTCGTTAACTCTTAACAGTTTCCAGTCTCACTTTATAAATGAACAGCAACAGAGCAGCAACTGAAACACTTCACCCTCCAAACCTCTAGTGGGCGACTCCTTCAGCTTTAATGGAGAGCTGACACAAAATGAGTCTGTGGCTTTGACCAGAGGGTCTCGCAGTAAAATCACACAACACGGAGTTCTTTTCACAGATCAGGTTTCTCTAAAGCTAACCAACGATTACTTTAACTTTCGACGGAACAGCGTTTTGCGCATGCGTCAGAATACGGCAACTCTACGGCAAGCCGGCCATAGCTAGCTTGTAGCTTCGCTACTTAGCTCTCGAAGAAGACTTTAACACCACTTGCGCACAGTTTTCAACTAAAAAAAGTAAATATTAAACTGACAGCTCTTATTTTACTTCAGACAGCATTACTGCGGTTAGCCGGTAGAAGACAGATCTCTATCGTAGACTTAACGTCTATCGTTTCTACCGTGTACCGTTTATATCGCGCATTCCTACCTAGCAATAGTGAGTAAATAAGTGGATAGGACTGAAAATATTGTGTCAAGTTGAAGGGCACAAGTCTTTTCTGACCCATATCATGAAGAACGATGCGATGAAACTGAATTTATTTCATTGTGAAATCAACATTTACTTTATGGCAAACTGAAGCAAAATAAACCCAAACTGTTCTCCTGAAGCTGCTTTTCTATTTATTTAAAAGTTATCGATATCAATGTTTCCCCTAACTTTATCCTGTCAAGAGAACTGAGCAACAGGATTACCAAAATTACAAACCAGAAAAAAAAATAAAACTTGGCCCAAAATGAGCGAACAATTATCCTACGTTAAAAGAAAAATTGCTTAAGAAAAGATTACAGGGTTTTTATGAGGTATGAACTTGGGAGGTGGGGCTCAAGACCTTTACATAGTCCTGTATGTAGACCAGTTCTCCAGGTTAACCTCGAAGAAGAGCTTTAAAACTCGTGACTATCCTCGAAACAAGCCAAATCACACAAACTGTTACGTACAGACAAGGAACAGAAAACAGCACAGCTGCTCCGATTCAGACGCCACGTTGTGAGGACGGTGTGGTAGGAGGCCGACGTCATGAAGGTCAACCAAAAAGGTCAAATTGAGAAATATACTTCTGACGCAACATTTCTCATAACTTCTGAACCATCTGGACAGAGTGCAGAAGATCTTTACGACGACGTGTTCTCCAGTCGTGCCACGAGTTGAAACCGTTAATGAGTTAGTGAGAAGCAGGCACCTGCTGCTTCTTGAACATCTACCTGGGTACAGTGAAGAACAAAATAATCCTCTTATTGTTACTTTTGTATGGTTTTAGCCATGTTTAATCTTAACCACCACCGAGATCCTCACTGATAAGTCATCATCTGAGGCTTCTCATCAGTATTTGGATTTTTTTGAGGCCACAGCCATGAAGGAAGGTCTAGCCTCCACTGACATGAGACACTGGTCTGGGTTAGAGGTTGTCTCAGAGGACTGAGGTATGTGTGGCATGCTGCTGGAGTAGGAAATCAACACCAATACCTGGCCAGACTGGGACAAAATTAATCTGGCCTGGTAAATCTGACTTCTTAGTTGTGTATGGAAGAGACTTTGCTTCCTGCCCGGCATGGTACGCTGGTCAAGGCTGGAGGTCATATTGTTCAAAGAACTGAAGAATGTGAAGTCTGCACAAGCACAAAATTACTCAACACAAAGACCACAAAGACAGGAGCAGAGCCATTGTGGTTAAAAAGGTAAGAGGAGAAGCTACTCTGTGTGCCTAATGGAAGAAGGTCTGGTTTGGCTGATGATGCAGAAAGAACCACTGAAGTTAACAGAACAGGCATAAGCTGTATTCACACAACTCCATATCAACGTTTTAAACAATCACCAGGCAACCGGCGGTCATGTGTGCGTTTTGTAGAGAAAACTGTGTCTGTCCTGCAACACGAAACAAAAAGTTGTGCAGTTCTGGATTGTGGAAAGACGTTGCAAACAAATGACAGGCCACAGTGTCAATATTACCCGAGAGAAGAGGCTGCATAAACAAGATTTAGTGGAGAAATGGTGATTTAAAGCTCCTGGACTCTCATAACCTCCTTCACTGTAAATCCATAACACTTCTAAGAACGGGCTGAGCACGAAATATCACAAAGCTGCTCTCCGTTAAGTGTGGCATCATAGTAGTGAGGGGTATCACATGCTGCAGGTCTGCTACGCTCAGTGCTGACTCAGCTGCAGTCTTGGTTTCAACCACTAAATTTGTGATTTTCCTACCTGGCAGGGCCATCCCCTAAACAAAATTCTTGGTCAGTGGGTTGGAATAGTAGGAATCTGCATTTTTCATAAATAGGAAACTTACCTTTAATTCAGTTCTTCATCTACAGGAGATGTTTACAAACTATTTGAGCCAATAGCATAATTCTGAACGTTTGCATGAACTAAATTTGTATTCTTGAAAGTGCAAAACTACTTTTTCATCAATCTACCAGACTGTTGGATCACATTTATAAGACGTATATTCCAAAAATGAACTAATTTGATTCGTCAGCATCCCCCCCCCAGCAAAATTAAGTAGGTAGGCAGTAATTAACTCAACGTTTGAGGTGAACAAATAGTTAAATTAAATATGAACTGATTGATATCGTCCTAACTGGTGAAAAAGCTTCTGACCATTTCAATCAGAACTTTTCCTGAAAGTTCAATACAGTTTCTTTTTATACGTTATATTTTTTTGCTATTTTTGGTGTAACTGGGACCTTGGGTACACAATTTCTTTCCACCTCATGTACCACATGTAATGATGCGAATGACTAAGAACCTTGAACCGTCACGGTAGTCTCTAAATATATGTAGAAATTGAGACATTTTTGTGACATGACAATTTTTCACATTGCGCACTGGTAATTCAAGACAAATTATCCTAAAGTTTTAATTTCTTTCAACCCAGATTGAAATCACTTGATTGGTGCCCAGTCTTTCATGCTGAACGTAAGCAGTTAGGTCTGAACTTTGGCTCAGTGGAGTTTCTACTGAGGGTAAATTGGCCAGATCACAAGTGGCAACATGTCTCTCTGCCAAGTCTTTAATCCTCTCCTTTTCAGAAGTGCACATGAGCCAACAGCCAGAGCCACTCTCTTCATGAGTCTCATCACAGGTAGCAACGCCACGTTTGCTCCAGGCTTAGCTCATATTTTAACGTGTTTTACATGCAAACGCATTCACCAAGCAGTGGCAACACAAGCCACCATGAGACGCGCACGTGGTGATGAAGTGTTTTTACCTCTGGAAACTGGAGAGCCTGGGGGGCAGGACGACTCCTTGTGTTCGGGGGACAGTCTTTGCTTCACATTTGCACTTCCTGGGCCGAGCGGCGGACTGGAGGGGGGACTGGTCGAGAGCCGGTTGGCTCCGGCGTACAGGGCTTGAGCCCGGGTCGGGCTGCTCGGACCCCCACGCAGGAGCTGGTAGGGTACGGTGGCTCGGATGGGGTGCAAGCGGCAGCTGCCGTTGTTGAACGACCCGGGAGAACCCGCGTTGCTGCGCCTCACTCTCGGCTGCTGGAGAGAGTTACTGCTCGGGGTTGACATCCTCCGAAACTGGCTGCTCAAAGTCTTATCTCGGTGAAAAACACGTTCGGCTGCCCAGTCTGCTCGCTGCTGCTCGGAGGAGGTGGTTGTAGGAGGGCGGTTAAGATAAACATCAGCCCGTTAGCGAGAAACGTTAGCTTCCTTCAACAAAAACTCAACTCGTGCGTTTCAAGGGGCAAAAGGCCTCAAAACAGGGTTTATTTTGAAACAAACTTACCTGTGAGACACTAATACATGCCGTCGTAAACTCCAAACATGACATGGGTAACTTTAAAGTAGTTTTTCCTACTTCTTTTAACAAATTAATTCGTGTTTCGCAGCTCTTCTGTCTTCCCCATCCTGTTCACTCACTTGACAGTTTATCAGCCAGACTAGTGGCTGGTGGCGGTGGGCGGGGTTTTAAGGCCCTCATGCTGCGGCTTCTGATTGGTCATTTAATGAGCGCAGTGTGGTCGCTGATTGGTTCTCGTTGGCTTACGGGCGTCACTTTCAGCCAATCACATTTGCAGTACGTTCCATTGTGTTCAAAGGTTTTTAAAAGTAAAATGGAGTGTTTCTGTACATTTATCTGCAAACTAACTGCTTCTGCTCATTCAGCGACTTGTTCTTTGTAACTTTAATAGTTTTTAAAATATTTAACCATTCACAAATACTTTCTGCATAGAAATGCAATGAGATCCTCAGTATCTTTGAGATGTACTTGCTGTTTTATGTCTTATGCTAGTTTTAAGAAGCCCTTTGTTAATTTTAATTTTTAGTAAATCGTTTGTCACTTTTAGCTAACTTTTCATAACTTTTACCTAACCTTTTGCTACTTTTAGTTAGCATTTGTTATGATTAGCTATTTTTAGCATTTTGTTACTTGTGCTCAACTTTTACTACATTTACAGTCCCTTTTGCTGGTTTCAGATACCATTTTGCTACTTTTAGTTCCTAGCTACTGTTTTGGCCAACCGTTTCTACTTTTAGCAAACTTTTTTTTTACTTTTAGCTTGTCTTTATTTACATTTACATAACCTTTGATTGGTTTTAGTTACCATCCATTCAACCATTTTCTTTACCCGCTTCTTCCATTTTGGGTCACGGAGGTCACTGGTGCCCATGTCCAGCAATCACTGTGCGAGGGACGGGGGACACCCTGGACAGGTCTCCAGTCCATCACAGGGACACAGAGACAAACGAGACAAACAACCATTCACGCTCACTCACACCTAGAGATAATTTAGTTATCAATCAGACTAACATGCATGTTTTTGGTCTGTGAGAAGAAACCGGAGCACCCGGAGAAAACCCACGCATGCACGGAGAGAACATGCAAACTCCACCCAGAAAGGCCTCCGGACTGGGATTTGAACCAGGGACCTGCTTGCTGAGAGGCAGCAGCTCTACCAGTTCTGCCACTGTGCTGCCTGGTTTTAGCTACCATTGTGCACAAGTTACCTTTTAGCCAACATTTGGCCACTATTAGCTTGCAGCCAGCCTCTAGCCACTTTAAGCAAACCTTTTATTGTTTAGCTTTAATTGCTACTATTACCAAGCATTTGGGGTATTTAGTTTTTATTTAGCCTTTTGCATTATTTTTACTGGTTTTAGCTACAAATATGCTACTTTGGCTTCCAGCTATTGTTTTAGCCAGCTTTTTCTACTTTTATCTTTAAACTAGTTCTTTGCTTCATTTAATAATTGTCTAATATTTTGCTTATTTTAGCTTTTAGCTAATGTTTCTATTTATTTTGGCTTTAACTCAGTTAAAGCTTCTTAAGCAAATTTCACTCAGCATTTTAGCAAAAATTCAAAATTTCTATTTAAACTTGCTTGTTCAAACATTTTGATTATGTGTTTTAGTATTTATAGTTTACAAACATAAGCCCCTCCCACAAAGTCACAACATTTATGAAACTTTAGTTTCTTTGGCGACTGGGGTTTAAAGAAATAAAAACAAGTAAAATACATGAATTCATGTTTTAAAAGTTACTTTATTAATCCATTTATATTTATCCAACAATATGACATAAAAACTATAAATTTTACTATTTTTCTGCCATAAAAAAGAAAGAGGCATGAAATAAAAAAGTCTAACTTATTTGTTTTACATTATTTCTCTGTGTTGTGTGATTATTTCATGACTCGCCTCTTTTGATCAGACATAACAGCTTAGTTTGAAGCCCTCTGTTGGCGCATTAAGCTCCTTTCTGTTAAGCTTCCCCCATGTCTGAGTGAGTATACAGTATTTTTTATGTCCCTGGTTCGCTGCAGAAATGCTTCGAGGGCTTCTAGAAACTCGAGTCAAATTCCTTTTATGCCTTAACATGTTTAACCAATGAATGTGGTGAGACAGTGGGTCAACGGCTGTTTCCCTAAGGCAAGAGCAAATCTTAACCTCAACTGAGCCAACAGGGATGATCATTTCATGTACAAGTACATTTACTTAAGAAAAAATCCCCATACTGTATACTTGAACTGAGAGCTTGTGGCAGAAAGCCAAAGATGAGCTAAGAAGAGTTTAATTGCTGGTGTGGTTCAGATGTCCAGAATCAATGATGTTCTCCGGTTACTGGTCTGCAAGTCTGAGGAGGATTTCATGGACGTTTGTGCAGCGACAGAAAACAAAAAAAAACACTTAGAGGCCATCAAATACAAACATAAAGCAAAAATAAACTCCATTCAGCAGCACTCCCGATTTGTCAGTGGAGATTTATTTCAAAGGCGAACACAAGAAACTGAAAGAAGGAAATTCCAGCCGCTCTGTTTTTCGAGACGCTACACAGCTCAACAATTTGTCAGCTCCAGCCCTAAACGGTTCACAAAAGGGCACGCAGGCCTATAAAACCTCCCACACCGGGAAGAAATCCTGCTGCATACAGTGGCTCCCGTGCACCCCCGCCCCCCCACCCACTCCATGACTAAGTGATTTAGCCAGCTCTGGTGCGGCCGCCTCTCATTTACAATGTGTCCGTGGGTTGGAGGCTGAGCAGGGAAGGTGGCAGTGAAGAGACAAACAACATGTACAATGTGGTTTACAGCGGACGGTTAGCCCACAGATGGCGCCCATCCTTCAATTCACGTGTGGTATGCATAGATTTTGGGGGTTTTAAGACACCGGCGGGGGGTAGAATAAAAAGAGGGGGACAGTTTTTATAACTGGAGGTCGCACAAGGGAGGAGGAGGAGGAGTGCGGGGCTCAGGCTGTCTGTTTTCTCGTCCTCTCTTTGAATCGATAGTGTTCCGGCAGCTGAGGTTCTTTATGAGGAGAACAATCTGGAGGGTCTTGTCAGAGAGCCGAGCAGCTGCCGTGTTCTGGGGAGCTTCTTTCAGAGACCACAGGCCCGGAGTGGGCTGGTGAATACAGGCACACCCTCCCTTCTTCACTCCTCCTCCTCCTCCTCCAGCTTCTCTAATTCCTCATCCTTTACTCCCAAAGCCACCCCTCCCACACAATGCCTGATGAGGGTGGTAACATAAGGAGGGTTTGTCACCCTGGGTCTGTCCCTCGCTCCAAACTGAACTTTTATGAGGTATGTGAAGAGCTTTGCATCAAAGACATTAAACAGGAAACTCACTTTCGACACATTGGCACATGTAGATCACACCTTGATTCACAAAGACGATTATTTTTACTATATAAAAGCAGAATCCCTATTCAAGTTAGACTGGAAGAGGCTGATTGCAGCAGAGCCTCTAGTAAATTCTCCTGAGTGATTTTTATTAACTGAGCAGTAAATTAGCATTTGCTCCCTTTCTGATTTGACATTAGTAGCTCGCTCTGCTTCCCTTCTTTGCTTAGGGCTCTGTTAGAACGCGACATTCACTAGACTATTACTTAACAGTATGTTTCTTTTCGAGCAGCCACTTCAGAGTGGGACAGTGCTGACGCTCCTCTGTCCCGTGCCCATCAGTCAGCGCAGCGACGCAGCAGTCGACCCGCTCTCGCTGGCTTCTGGGTTGCGTTTGGCTTCGGTTCGCAGCACGCGTCTCCCGTTTAGCTGCTGTCCGCAGGCACCAGGTTCCCCGTGGTGTCCAGCTGCATACATTTACACGTACAGGCCGACACCGGGCACTCCGTGTGGTCTCTGCAACACACGCACACACGTACAGCACGTAGGCTGTTAATCAACCAAACTTCATGAAGTGCAATAATTAGGACAATAAGTAGAAAACTAGAGCATTTCTGAAGGAATTCAGCAGAGTGCCGACGCAGCGCAACTGCCGACGTGTTAATGTACGAAGAAATTTCAAACCTGCTGCCAGTGGCTCATTAGGATCGCCATGGCAACCACACGCCTGTGTCTCTCGTTCCCTGACTGCCGAGTTAACGAGAGACGGAGAAAAACGCAGACTGAAAATGTTACCGTGTGAAAGCTTTTTTTTTTTTTCCGGCTGCTCCTTCTTCAGGGTCTCCACAGTGAACTAACTCGCACGAAGACTTGATGATTGTTTTTACGCCGGATGTCCTCCCTGACACAACCACAGACCACTGAGCTACCACAGCCCTCTGTGTGGAGCAGAGAGCTGCTGTCTAGGGTGCAGGGGGGAGCAAATGGTGGTGGTTAACTGCCTTGCTCAAGGACACAGAGTGGGGTAGGTGTGGGTGCTCCACCTTTCCCACCCACATTTTGATGTTGTCAGTACGAGGGGTCAAACCGGTGATCTTCCGATCACAGGCCCGCCTTCTCTAACCTCTGCACCACCACTCCCTGTGTGAAAACTATAAATCAGATATTTAAAAAATTTAAATAAAATCCTTGAACCGTGAGCAGCCGAAGACTTTGATAATCACACGTCGGGTTTTTATACGTCTACAGTGTTTTAGGTAGAAGATATGAAGAGTTAAAGACCCTTCACTTCCAATTTTGAAAAATTAATTAAAATTTTGAGCTAAAATTTAGCTGAATCTGTGAAAGCTCTCCATTCTGTGGAAATCTGAGAGAAAACTGCAAAGTCCTAAAGCAGAAGACAACGATCCCTGCACTTTCATGTGCAGTTGGTGTGAGCAGCAAAAACAAAGAGGTTTACATTTTACAACAGACGCCATACTGAGAAGGTTTGGACATGTCCACAGGAGGGACAGTGGTTTGGACATGTCCAGAGGAGGGACAGTGGTTTGGACATGTCCACAGGAGGGACAGTGGGTATATTGGTAGAAGGATGTTAGAAATGCAGCTGACAGGAAAAAGACAAAGAGGAGATACATGGATGCAGTTGGAGAGGACATGGAGGTCGTTTGAGTGAGGACAGAGGACAGAGTGAGGACAGACATGGAGGAGAATGACTTGATGTGGAGGCCCCTGAAGAGGGAAAATCTGAAAGAAGAAGAACATGAAGAACAAGAAGCAGAAGAAGAAGATGTAAGACTTTTAGACAGCTCAAAAGTTTGTGAACTCAAGACAATATTCTGTGTAAAAACTTGTAAAAAAACAAAACTTAAAAACTGTAAAAGACTCAGAAATGTCAGTTCAATCGTGTAAAGTTTGATTTTCTGTTTGAACTTTGAATAATGTTTCTGCTGTGGTCGTTCTGAGCTGCAGAGCTCCAAGGAGGGCTGAGTTTTCTACCATCGACCTCCACTGGGGGGACATCCATGAACTGAAGTTGCTGGACCTGCAGCAAAGTGGATTTTCTTACCGTGTTCCTGGTGTTTTATTTAATTCTGTTAGTGCCTCTCCTGAAAACTCTTCCGTTTCTTATCTAGATATCTCAGTGATGATGACACAACCCTTTAACTTCAAACATTTTACTGTATCTAAAGTGCATAATGTTATCAAACTTCTAGACCCTAAAAATTCAGCAGGTCCAGATCGACTGGAACCCTATTTCTTGAAATTATTTGTTGATTTTAATGTCCCACCTCTAACTTATCTCTTTGGATAATGGGTATATTCCCTTGATATGGAAGTCTGCTTATGTTACGCCATTGTTCAAAGGGGGTGACCAGGCAGAGTTAAACAATTACAGACCTATATCTAAAGTGTCTGAACCGGCCAAGGTCCTGGAGGCCTTGGTCAGTGAACAACTGAAGGACTTGCTAACACTGAATGATATTCTATCACATTCTCTGTCTGGTTTTAGGACAATGCATAGTATCACTACAGCAGCACTAAAAGTGGTTAATGATTGTATTGATCTTTTGGGTAATAAGCAACACTGTGCAGCTGTTTATCCATTTCTCCAAAGCATCCGATACAGTTAACCCTGAGGTTTTACTACAGAGGCTTCACACTCTTGGCTTGTCAGAACAAGCTCTACGTTGGTTTGACATCTGACCAATACATCTCATTGTGTTCAAGTAGGGGATTTAGCTTCCTCTTCTCTCCATATACTCAGTGGTGTTCCTCAGGAGTCAGTGCTGGGGCTGCTTTTGTT